ACAGAGGATTAAGGTTGAGGTTTTAGGATTTAGGGTCTTGGGCAGCCCGGCTTAACCGAGAAGCTAAACACCCTGTGCTGTCGATTAAAACCCTAAACCCCAAACATTGGGTAATATTCTAGAAGGGTGGAGTTAGGGCTGTCGCGTGCTGCAGAGCCCGTCGAAAGCAGACAAAGCAATCCCCAAAGCCTAAACCGAACCCGCTGCAAGAGAGAGCGCCTGACTCTGAAACAAGGGGCCGGATCAGGAATTTGGGTTTTCAGTGCAGGGTTGAAACCCTAAACACTGAAACAGGCAGAACCCTGCAACACTCCATGTCAGAAACAGCGGCGAGAGTTGAACAGCCTAAACACGGAAAAGCCTAACGCTAAAAACCCTCACCCTTAAATCACAGACCCTCAACCCTAAAACAGACCCACCCTAAACTATAAACTTTAAACACCCTAAACCCTAAACCCAAATCCCAAGCCTAAAGCCTCCAAGGCCCGAAACCCCGAGCCCGCCAGGTTCAGGCACTCAATGCTTACCGCTGCAAAGTTCCCGCCATACTGCTCATCGAAGTCCTGTTGCAGCATGAGGCTTTAGGGTTGGTTTGGGCTTTGTAGGGCTCTGAGGCTTTAAGTTTCACGGCCTACCTGTTGCTCTAGCTGTGCTGGGCTCTGCAATGGAAGTCCTTTGTACCTGTAGTCTCCATTGTAGTTCCTTTTTGGGGGGTTACCTTTTAGGATCCTTAATATAGAATTGGTTAAGCCAAAAAAAGGAACTACAATGGAGACTATAGGTAAGGTTTAATTAGGGTTGAGGGTTAAGGGTTTGGAAACTACCGGATTTGGGATGTAGAGCTCCAGGCTTTTGCCTAACCCTGGATGCCACGCTCCCCTCAACTCTCCACTCCAAACCCTATGCAACGTAAACCCTGCGAAGCCGCCCTGAACCATAAATCTCATTTGGGAAAGCCTCTCTCTCTCTCTCTCTCTCTCTCTCTCTCTGGTTCTTAGTAGTTGAGTGCGGGGCGATATTCGAGGGACAGAATGCGGACATATGTAGAGGGGTATCGGTTTTGGGATTAGGTATCGGTTCTCCACAGAATTGGCTTCATTACCCATATGGGTCAAATGAGTCTTCATGATCCACAAGGGGGGCGGTCTTGTGTCTAGGATCGGCCAACAAATCTCACACGAACAGGTACGTGCCATTGCTGAGCCGCTCTGACTGTGACATAGCTTCGACATGGCACAGGTTCTGCTGCCTTCATCATAGTTAAGTATAGAAGCGGTTATGCGACGACTGCTGGCCTGTGTTCTGTTGGGGAAACCCTCCCCAAACCCTAAACCCTAGCACCAGGGAGTCCTCAGTAAACACGCGGACCAGTATGACCATAATATGCCCGAGGCCACAGAGGAGAACCGGCCAAATGCGAGACACCTCGGCCCCGGTGAGTTGACGCCAATTAGGAAAATAGCGTTGAGGGTTTAGGATTTAGGGTTTGGGGTCTAAGGTTCAGGATTTGGGGGCGTTTGGGGTTTAGGGTTCGGGCTCCACGCTATTTTGGGATGGGCTGGTGGCCTTCTAAGAAAAGCGACAAGCTTTTGGGTCTCGGTGCATCGCGAAATGGGCCCCTGGGCGTCAGTCCTTAACAAGCGGTTTGGCACAAAGGCTTCGGCGAATTGATGGTCAATCCAGATCCGAAACCCGAGATCGGATTTAGGGCCTAGGGCTTAGGGTACTTCTGTCTTTAGACATCCAACGGTGGCTGTCTGAAATCCGAAATCAAAGTCGAATGGAAGGTCCAAGCAAGGATTCTGGGTTGAAGTTTGAAGATTCCGATTTAGTTGCCTCGACCCCCTAATCCTTAAGCCTAAACATTGAATCCCAAACCCACAACACCCGAATACCACAATCGTAAACCCTAAACCCATAAACCAAACAAACATAGAACCCTCAACCCCGAACTCTAAACCGCTAAACTCCAAACCAAAGACACAGCTTTGTCCGAGGCGCGACTAATGAGTTCGGTTGCCGAACCAAGACAAAAAGAAGAATCGAGACCTTTAAGCCGGTCGGGTGATGGGGTGCGGGATTTTGGGCAGAAAGGCGGCAGGGTTCCTTCTTTCAGTGGTTCGATGATTGCTACCATTGCACATAGTATTCCACACGGCTGCACATGTTCCGAAATTTCGCCCTTTGTTTTGCTTATGCAACCCCACAGCTCCGCGGTTCATTGCCCCAATCTCAGTATGTGTGCAGGTATTGCTGCTGCTTTCGTCGTAGTGCTACAGCACGAGTAACGCTACGATTCTGACCTGTGCCAGGAAAACAGCAATGACATCAGTAGCAATATTCGCCATCGCAACAACATCCGTCATAAGATTACTTAAAACCTCATACTAATAATGACAATCGGACGGAAACATTCAGCAGCAGCAGCGGCAGCAGCAGCAGCAGCAACAACAACAACAACAGTGGCTTGAAACTTGAAAACTCTGCGTTCTCCGGCTTACTGTCCAAACGAGTCCAACTCTTGTTAAACCGTATTAATCCGGTATAAGCCGTCGTAGAACTTTAGAGCCCAAACGACGTTGTCTTCCGCTTCCCAGCGCCAAATCCTCAAACCCCCAACCAAAAAGGATCCTCTCTTGGAGGGTTTTGGTTTTTGGGTTTTTTTTTTAGGTTGGTTGCGGCCTCGGCCTCTTTGTCTGTGGAGGGTTCCGGCTCGGTTCGGCATGGGATATCTGTGGGAAAGCAGTCACGGGCCTACATTCTCGGACTCTCGAGGATTTAGCTTGAGGCTGTAGCATGATCCTGGGTTTTGCATCTTTGATGTTTGGGCCATAACCTGAAGCAACTGTTAGGGCTGTTAGTTGGCCCGCACACAGGGTTCTCCGTCATTTTTAGCACCGAACACCCTTTGCCGACCTCCAGGTCGCCTGTGCAGCCGTCAGCTGGGTCTGGTACATCAGCTGTCGACGAAAGCAGCCCGGCTTCGTGCCGCCCTCAGTTCCCTTGCAGTGTTTGCAGTCCTGCGTTCCTGCGGGTCCTCAGAGAACCTTCAGCAGATGAACTCTTGAGTTTCTAAACCAGTCTTTGGGGCGGTCCCGGCAAATAATAATGCTGGGAAAGCGATTATCGTCGTTGGGGAAGGGATTCTTTTGGCAGTCCACAGCTCATTCCCAACATGTAATTCCCAAGTTGAAGCAATTAGATGTAGCTGTCCGAGACACTTGCACATCGGGGCCCGTGGACTGGGACCGCTTGGCGTGCTTCAACAAAAAAACGTACATGTTGGGAATTACATGTTGGAAGTGAGCTGTAGAACCCTTCCCCAATGACAATCATCACTTGCCCAGCGTTATTATTTGCCGGGACCGCCCCAAGACTAGTTTAGAAGCTCAAGAGTTCCTCTCCTCAAAGCTCTTTCAAGACCCGCAGGAACGCAGGACTGCAAACACTGCAAGGGAACTGCAGGCAGCACAGAGCCGAGCGCTTTAGTCGAAGACTGACGGTACCACATTTTGCATATAGTATTTTGCTCACAAGCTTGGACTCTAAGGCAAATCGCGAAAATCTTATCTTGAGAATGCACACAAGTCTGGCAAGTAAGCCCCGATTCAATCCTCACAGAACACGAAAATAAAGAGGCCGACGTTTAGGGGTTTTTGGTTTAGGGCTTTGGGGCCTGGGGTTTTGGGGGAGCAGCAACAGTGACACCGGCAGCGAAATAAAAGTAAAAGGGCAAAGATCAACATCCACAAGACTCGAATGAAAGCTTACTGAAGCCCTAAACCCTAAACACTAAACCCTAAGCCCTAAGAACGTCTTTCTATAACTCTCGCAAGCTTACTGGAGGATGCCGTCAGGTCGCCCTCGCGGTGCCCCGAGGTGAGGTGACCGCCGGCAAGAGGTAAAGCATTGAGAGGATCTCCAGGGCTTAGGGTTTAGGGTTTAGGGTTTAAGGCTTAGGGTTTAGGGTTTAGGGTTTAGGGCTTGAACAGTTCAGGGCCTGGGGGAGGTAGCGTTGAAGGGTACCTGGACACTCCTCGTGCCTAGTATTTTGGTGCGTTTGCTTTGACCACATTATTCCTGGTCGCTGCTCAAGAAACAGCACGTAAAAAAAAAAGTTCAATGCATCGTTGAGGACATAAGCTTTGGTTCGTTGAGGCTGTTTACATGGGGAAGTTGCAGCAGATTGAAAGTCAGAACCCCCGAATCCACATTGCTTCCCTGAACTTTGTTTCTGCGGGCTCATGATCGAGCTTCGTCGGCGATGCTGCTCACGTGGCTCGGCAGATTGGGGGCTGAAAGATCTTGTGCAAAGTTAGTTTAAAAGGCTTCGGTTGGTTGATCCCCTACCCATCTGAGCCTTCATGCAGCACAAAGTGCATCTTGATCAAAAACCTATCAATTGTCCTGGCAGCCGTCCGCTTTGGGTGCACACGCCTCGAAAGTCTACATATCTTCCCGATGTAGTCTTCATCGGGCTCACTGTTGCCGATGACTGGCGACAAGAACCATTTGGCGCTAGGGTCCTCAAGCTTTACACGAACATCTACCCAGAAATGGTGCATGTAGTGAAGGCTTGGCACCAAAGAGAATCGGTTCAAAGACCTTCGGTGGCAGATTTCGGCTAGATAGCTGTACGAGTCGGTGAATGCAAATGCTGCTTCGCCTAGCTGCTGAGCAACTTCTCGTGGATGCCACAAGCCGTAGGTGTGCATGATGTGAAAAAACGCAATTGCTCCGGTTGCTGCACGTGCAATGTGACGCATGAACGGCTGATGATCACGCTGTTGCTGTCGGCCGTCGATGAGACTTCCGATGCGAGCTCCCTGC